TAAGCACCGACAGCCTGTATAAAAGGGGGCCTGTGATTGGCTGTTACTTACGCGAGATTTGAACGGGACTTACGTAGGCGTCGGATCAGATGTATGTAGGGCGGAATTAAAAAAAATCAAAATCAAAGTAAAATAATAAAATAAAAAGGCATTAATAACAAAAGTAATAAAAAATAAAATTAAAATAAGTTTATAGCCAAAATAATTAAAGCCCATACACTACATCAGATTTTAATCAGATTGGTACGATACTTGCGCAACAAAATTCGTATAAACAAAGTTTTTCATATTTCCTAGGCGATCGACGTGTGGATGGCCTCGTGTATGTTTTTTGTTTTCGCCGCATTGCTGGAGTTTGCCGCTGCCAATTATATTTATGTGTTTGGAAAAGACACCATAGATAAAGCCGGCCGCTTAGCGGCCATGGAGCAACAGAAACGAAAAGAGGTAATAATGTGAAAACTATCATATAACGATTTAAGTTGAATCGCTTCTAATACGTTTTGTTGCGCCCCAAGCGACGAAGCAGCTAGGCGACGTAAATGCACGGCGTTCATCAACAAAAAAATAACGGTTTTGACACATTTACAAAATGTTTGAGTGACATTGCTTTCTCAAATCCACGTAATGTTTACGTCACGCAACGTTTCTCCTAAATAGCTTTATTATTTTTCAAAATAACCGGATCAACGATCAAACATCTTCAAATTTAATGAAAGATGAAAAATGAAAAATGAAGATATTAATGAAAATATTTAATATTTTCCCCCTTTATTTTAAGGAATTGGAGATGCTGCAAAATTTTAGTCTTGGACGAAGTAGGATTGACAATGGTGATCTGAGGTCACGCGATGGAATCAGGGTTATTTTCTCCAAGGACATGGACGATAACGACGGTAAAGTGCACACAGTAAGGAAAAACATTCCAGCTGAAGCAACGGACAACATAGACGAACAGATGAGAACAGCGTGTTGTTCAATGAACCGGGCCAAATACGTGGACCGGGGAGCAAGAATTATTTTTCCTGTGTTCTTCGTCGCCTTCAACTGTGTGTATTGGCGTGTATATTTGTCACAAGCTTAACGGGGAATCTTTCAACGACAATCATGTGGAACATATAGTATTTTCGATATATGTGTTGTAACAGTAATCAAATGAGGGCGCTTTTTAATGTGGATCCTAGCATCGTCAATAATTTGAATACCAAAATAACATCGCTGAATACTAGTATGAATGAACTCAGAAGACGTTTTATATAAACAATATGGCTTCGGCGGAAAGGGTACCCGAGATCTCGTTGACAGCGAGATAGCTGTGAGCTTTCATTTATTTTTTTGTTTTATGAAATAGTCACAGTCTCACCTCACGTCGTCCGATTCGCACTGTTTTGCTGAAGCCGACCTTCCGTGGCCGTCCTTACGAGCCCGTGTTAAGAAAAGCTTTATTTGACCTCAGTTGATTCATCAATTTCAAGTTAAAACCAATAAATATCACTGTCTTATACCACGTCATTAGTATTTTTAAACGAATAGGATGTGGGGAGAACTGCCACAAACAGTATAGGATCTTTAAATCTCACCAGATACATCAAGCAGTAGTACACGGTACACGGTACACCAATGTGCAATGTTCTAAAGGTGAACACGCATTTATTCAGTTGTGCAGGAACGAGATATAGCTAGTTGAAAAACTACATGCGCTAGGACGAATTAGAACAATGTATCACATGGAGTACAGATCTTCGTCTATTTAAAGCCAAGGCTGGATTCACACCTTAGAATTTTAATCCTTGGCGTCAATTAATCTGATTGGTTGTTTTAATTGAGCCAATCAGGGAGAACTAACACAAATAAACTGATAGAAATGGCTGAATACAGGCCAAAGTGTGTTTCTTTGCATCACACAAACAGCATAAATCTATATATAGGAAATTTGGCTACAACTACTCAATCTTGAAAACATAACTGGAGATAATAAACACTGACCAATTACATACAACAATGAAATAAATCCAATAAAAAGAAGCGAAGTTATGGTAAATAACATGAAAAATATATGTATCCACATGGTAATAATGATATAGGACAACAAGAAAGGGTCGGACAAAACACGTGATATGGCGTTCGATTTCCCGGCTTCGTGCTCCATTCTGATCACCTTGGAAATGCACCAGAGCACGTGCCGTTGTGTTTTGTTCCGTATACAATGAAGATAGGTTATATAATGGGAATTCTGCCAAAGTATAATGATGAGGCGACGGCCGAATAAATTAACCTTGTCTGGCGATGATGCTCCCATCTAATGTTACCATGGTTATGTAAGCCAGGAGAACATTGGACGTGATTACCTTCCTTACCATTCTGATTGCAATAAGTTCCACTCATACATTGCCCAAATAAATGTTACTAACTCAGAGACGTGTTCACCCTGTTAGAAATTATTGTAATTAGTCCCCGTTCGGACGCAGTCCGAAAACGGGGACTTATGTTTTGACCTCCGTGTGTCCGTGCGTGAGTCTGTGCGTGCGTCCGGACCTGTATCTTAGAAATGCCTGGACCAATCACAATTAAACTTCACACATACATCAGACATGATATTATACATATGCACTTCAATTTGTTTCACGATCTGATTCAAGATGGCCGAATAGCGATCATTTTTGTGCTAAAAATCATCAAAATCAAGCATTTCTCGGCTGTTTACAGATGGATTTTGTTCAAACTTGGTATATACATTAGACATTATAGGACCTTGATGCACATCATTTTGTTTTACGATCTGATTCAAGATGGCCGAATGGCGGCCATTTGTATTAATGAATGTGGTTCTCGTGCCATATCTCTGACTTGCATTCACTGATTATGTTCAAATTTTAAATATTCATTATACATCATGTCATAGATAGACAGATATATTGGTTTGACGATCCTATTCAAAATGACCAAATGGTGGCCTTTTTTGTGCTAAAGAATCATCAAATATCAAGCATTTCTGGCATTTATGGATGGATTTCGTTCAAACTTGGTACATATATTAGACATTACAGGTTCCTGATGCATATCATTTATTTTTCAGATCGGATTCAAAATGGCTGTCTGGCGGCTATTTTGTTTTAATGAATGGGCTTCTAGACCCATATCTCCGACTTGTTTTGACTGATAATATTTTCAAATTTTAAATATTCATTATACATCATGTCATAGAAAAACAGATATATTGGTTTGACTATCCTATTCAAAATGGCCGAATGGTGTCATTTTCGTGCTAAAAAATCATAAAATATCAAGCATTTATGGGTGGATTTCGTTCAAACTTGGTACATACATTAGACATTACGGATTCCTGATGCTCTTCATTTTATTTTTCAGATTGGATTCAAAATGGCTGACTGGCGGCCATTTTGTTTTAATAATTGGGCTTCTAGAGCCATATTTCTTAAATGTTTTGACTGATTATATTCAAATTTTATATATTCGTTATGCATCATGTTATATATCTTTTTATTTAGATAATGGCAATTTTTTGGTCAGAGCGCCCTCTAGTTTTGTGGAGAATCATGTTCATTTGGAATGCTCTGATTGGATGGAAGTTCAAGCCTAGCAAGGTGTGATAGAATTGGCCTGTTATGTTCAGATTCAAATAAGCATGAACCACTAATTTGACAGGGAAGTGATACTTATAATGCAGCAAGCTGTTCTAATTGCTGTTGTGGTAGAGTTTTTCTATCTTTTCAATCATTTTAATGTTAAAAAAATCATATTCCTGACATGGTTATATTCCAGCTATAATACTATAAACAAAACTATATATCTTAAATTTGATAACTAACGGGGACTGTGCCATGCACAGCTTGTTATTTTGTAATTTCACTTAAATTATTTGTTATATGTTGGATCCTGAAAACCGAACACTTTTTTTGATCGCCGCATTTATTGCGCATAACTTGCGTTTAATATCAAATGCAACATGTCAGAGGGCGCTGTTCAATCAACATTAATGTTGATATGTATATTCGTATTGTACGAACTAACATACAGTGCAAGGACGACGTCCAACATGAAATAAAATGATGTTTAACAAGGCTGTGAGCATACACATACTTACACAATTGCTAGTAAGTCTTACAGAGCATTATTTGCCAATTCTAGAACAACTGTTGTCATTGTGCAAATTCTGGATTTTTAGAATGTGAATTAAACAAAAAATGGCCACATTTTGTCCGGAAACTACATTTAATTACAACGATATTCGAGGCGCAATATTGTTGGGTTTATAATTAACTTATACAGCATCCAACACATACAATCGTCATGCAATATGGGATTGGGCCTCGTAATATGTATTGCGCACAGTATGACCCCATGGAATATATATCGCCGGTATGTTTTGAGAAATGAACTTCAGTAATTGTTTTGTTAGATCAATGAGCTGTCAGATAACCTTAGCGCACCCACACCGTGCAGGTCACAAGCACGCGTTCGCTCGCTGGGCTTACTGTACCGCCTTTGAGAACTGAAGTGCTGAAAACGAAATCTGGCAAATATAACAAAAACCATACTGTATGACCATTTTGTAAAAGCATATGCCAAACGAGTGCATTGTGGGAAAAACATAAATGCGCATGTGCAGAAGGAAAAACAAGCGGGGATTAGCTGACGAATCACAGGGAAGCACGCAAAGGATGCTTCAAAGAAGAAGAAAAATAGAAACTCCCACAAATTCCGTGACAGACAGAAAGAAATAAACTGAGCAGAACCAAGTGTTTCTAGGGTCAGCTCTAGAACCAATTATTTGTACCATGACAACCGATAGCAGTGGCTTTCAAAAATGTCACGTGCATAAAGAAAACAAATACAGTTTTGGTAGAAATTACGTCATTTCCCAGACTTTTGAAATGCAACCTATGTTTAGGCCAGAAAAAAATCTCTATTTGTCGTTTCATGGAAATTTCAAAACGAGGCGGCGAGGCGATATTTTTTTATGAATACTGAGCTAAAATGGGTGAATTTGAGACAAGTGCGAGTACAAGCGCATTTTGGAATGCTTTAGAGGGAAAAAATGACCGAGGCGCATAGTTCAAAATGATAGCGCGGAAACAAACGACAAACACAGATATTTTTTTTCTCAGCCTTTGTTTTGCTGAAAAAGTTGATCCATTAATGTCTGTGGGTAAATACCTTAAAGTTCCCCGGTAGATCCGGGTTTTGATATATATTTAATTTACTACCATATGGCGTAGTTACAATTGTTGGCTACAGTGTGTAAAGTAATGTTATTATTATTATTGCTTCCCAAGTAGTTAGGTTAAAATAAAGTTTAACCCCCCCAAAATTGCTACAAAATGTTTTTCAACGGATTCTAGTATGTGTTAGTGTACTTTTTAACATACTAAAAGTTTACCAAAGTAGGACCTTCGGAAAAGTATTTTTTTTTCAAGATGGCGTCCAAGATGGCCGCCGAAACTTCTTAATGATTATAACTATGTAACTATCAACTCAAATGTGATAATCTTGGTGTCTATCCCTAGGTTTTCGGGGGCAAAGAACACATTAAGATCATAAAAAATGACGTTGGCCTATTATGTAACACACAAATCCAAAATGGCGTCAACAATGGCTGCCAATATCTCCAAATGACCGCAAGTCCATAACTATTGACTTATATTTTATAATCTCCATGTCTATCCCCATGTTTTTGGGGGCAAGGAACACACTAAGAGAACTGTGGATATAATTGAGCTATTGAATCATTATGAAATTGAATTCATTACCTTCAGCTGCCACTATCACCTATTGCACAAACACCTTTGTCCATAGAATAAGTTTCAGAATTTTCAGTTTTGAGTGTCATCCTCTTCCTCAGTATCAACGTCTTGAGTGTTGTTTGGGTTGTCACAGTTGTCAATTTGGCAAGGGCCACATACAGCAGTGCAGGGGAGTCCATAGCGTCTGCAGCTGCATCGAGAGAATTTGCATCCCACCAAACAGTTGCAATGGATAATTTTCAAGAGTTTGTCAGGCGCAGCATTTTATGGGGTCATAATTGGAATTAACTGATCATCTTCCTTTTTCCATCCCTATTCG